GCTATGTCTGGCTTTATCTGGGTACTGAGGTTACAGATGCATGTGCGGCTATGTCTGGCTTTATCTGGGTACTGGGTGCCAAACTTAGGTTCTCACGCTTGAGCCGCAGCACTTTCCCAACCAAGCCACCTACCTCTCCAGTCTCCTCATTTTTCTCTTTATCTTAATACAGTAATTTTCCTCTCACTGAGCCATCTGAGAACAAAACAAGGTGGTATGACCATGACACTAAAACCAGGTAGAAGCCAGGGGATAGGTAATATAAAATAGGTATAGGCTGGGGATAATTGTAGAATTTTCTGTTAGGAAGTTCGGTTCTCTTAGTCTTCTCAGACATCTTACCGTTTTGTGCTCCTGCTTAATTGTGCTTGATAATTACTGTCCTCATAGGTATTTACTGAGCCTTCGTACCGGGCAGAGGCAGTGCTAAGAATACAGGGGAAGGGGCAGCCAAGCACCCTGCAGACAGGGCTTTCCATGCCTTCTCTGTGGTACAGACAGCAGGGCTCACAATCCTTGGGATGTAGAACACTGCACTGAGCCTTGGTTACTGCCCATTTCCAACATCCGATGTGAGGCTAAGGGACCAAAGGCTTCAGGGCAGGAACCAGTATCTGCCCCTTGTTTCCAGGCACCACCACTGGCTCTAAGAGACACGACCTGTGTCTGCAAGACAAGTACACACACACACACACACACACACACACACACACACACACACACTCACTGTCATTTCAAGCTGACAGGATGGGAAAGAATTCCAGGGATGTGCATTCAGACTGGGCAGTGGAAACTGTTCTCCCCACTGCCATGAGTTACAGGCTCAAAGAACAAAAGCGGCTGCCTGTTTGAGCCTTGTCCTGGGTGGTACCTGGTATTCTAACTGCATGATTCTCCTTCCAGGTCCCCCTCCCAGGGTCCCCAGAATCTGTCAGTCTTGTGGAGAAGGGTCAAGAGTTTTAAGGGACAAAGACATGGGGAGGAGTCTGAAGAGGCAGGGAGGAAACTAAGACCGGTGGGAAGTAGCAGACTAGGAAATCACGTTCTGTGCAGGAGCCTAAGGTTTGCAAATGCTGGGGGCTGAGGCACGCGATACAAAACAAAGCAGTTCCAGAAAGATGTGACTGGTCCTCTTTGCCAAAGGCTTCTTTCCCTGACCTACAAAGCCATAGCCACAACATACTCAGGGTGTCAGCAGTCACACAGATACTTAGAATACCACTCAAGTCCACTACCCAGCAATGTAAATTTAGCAAATAAAGTATAATTAGTGTAAATTCGAGTGTTGACTCAGTATGCTGTTGATGGTGAAACATCGGAACACAGGCAATAGGAAGGTTTGCCAACGATGAGAGAAAAGGAATGGAAAGTTCTAGCATATTCTCCTTTGCAAAATTGCCTTTGAACACGTCTATGATTTCCACCTAAGAACACAATTGGCTAGATTCCATTTGATACCATTTTTTTCTGTTATGAATTGCTTAGTGCATTTTTTTAACCAATACATATTCATTGGAATTTTTTTTTTTTAAATGACGAGAAAAAAGAAACCCCATGCTTTCTTAGGGGTGTGCCCTATTAACACCCTGATGCGTCCTTTAATGATGGACAGCTTTATAACCCCACAGGCACCAATGTCCTTATCTACCCCACCTCATTTCTGGCCGCATTCAGAAACCCGCAGTCTCTACAGTTTTACAGCCCCAGATCTCCATCTGCAAACTGTGGCAGTCTAAACCCTTAATTAGTAACAGCAGGTGCTGAAGTGCTTAGAGCAAATCACTCCTCCATTTTAGTGAGTTGTTATTTATGTCAGTCTTATCACGGGGTGCAGCGCTGCACCCCGTGACAATCAGCAGCGGTTGCCTGGGCCTGAACTCTCAGAGGGCAATCACCGGCCTCCGGTTTCCCAGGAGACCAAGGAGGGATTTGGCTCTATCTGGAGACTAACCAAACTGCGGGGCTCGCGGAGGATCACAAGACTCCGAGGGGGCTCTCCACTCTCCTGGGTCAGAATCCACTAAAAAAAATCAGGCATTTTATTCAGAATCCCATTTTTGTGCAGCTTTGCTTAATCCTGAGCCATCAGACTACTTACCGCTTTCGCTTTCGCGCGCGTACAAAACACCTTACCGCCCCCCCCATCCCCGGAATTACCAAAACCCGTTAAACAATCTACAAAAATAATTTTGTTTCCTGAAGCTTGTCCCTAAAGGGTCGGAAGATTAAGTAGTGAAAGCTTATTACAGGTTTTAACAAAACTCATCTAGGTGTAAGAGACCCAGCTCCTATTTGTCTAGAAAGATCTGTGAACAGATAGTGCTGGCTCCGCCTTCTGGAGTGAGTAATGTTCCTCTAGGCATCTTAAGCCAGACTTTCCCGCTATTTTGTTTTGTTTTGTCTTGTAGACAGGTTTTCACACTATAACCCAAAACAGGCCTTGAATTCATAGCATCCTCCCGCCTCAGCTTGCATGGGGGCTAAGTCACCAGGCCGGGTTTCACGTTACTTTTTTTTTTTTTTTTAATCTACAATAGTAACCCTGTGGGTGGGTCACCAAGGGTCTGATCAAAGTGCGCTTCTGGGACCTCTCTCTGCAGAGTACGGACGGACCCGGTGCGTACACTGGCAAGCAGGCTTTGTTTGTGCAAGGCCACCTTGGGTCGCCATCTTCGAAAGGCGAACAGTGCAAGGACAGGGGCTCCGGAAAGACATGCAGATTAATGCACGCTCCTATAGCCCAAACCTTCCCTGTAGGAAAGCTCAAGCTGGGTCTCCCAATCCCAGGATGGCCCGAGGTTCTGCTCCGGGCTCCGGGGTCAGGGGGTTCAAAGTCTGGCCTGGTGGCTTTCTTGCCTCAAATAACTGCCCCACACCGGAGCGCAGCTCCAGGCCCTTGATGGAGCCTCCTGGGTGCGCTCTGGTAGGGCTGTGCCTGCAGGGCCGGATGGGGTGATGCTCACAGCTGCCTCCCCGACAGCTCCTACCTGCCCTGGCCTCCGGCCTAGCTCTCCACTGCTGATCAGGTCGGCCATGGCGTCTAGTGCTCCGCAGCTTCTTGGCGGGCCCGCGCTGCGAGGGGCGGAGCGAGGCGCAGGGAGCGCCCGCCCGGGGGCTGTGGGAGCGCTGGGCAGAGTGACGTGGACACCCCAGGCCCGCCACTCACGCAACAGGCTGGCTTGCTCCACTACGCATGGGCAGAGCACCCTCTGCTGTGATGGATGCCTGGGGTGGGCCAGCCACTTAGCGGTCCTACAGATGCGCCAGCTTGTCCCATAAAATATATTTGTCTGATGCCTGTGCGTATGGACAGCGCTCGTATGGCAGTTTCTTTAATTCAGGATTTTGGAATTGCTCTGTTTTGTAACTGCAATTTAACACGATGGCCCCATTTTCCTAGCTGAGAAACTGAGGCAGTGAAGAAGTTTCCGGTGGCTGCTGACCAAACCCGTTATTCAGCCCTGGCTCAGCACTGAGATAAGATCCTTCTCTTGTTATTGTGTCTAGGTGCTTCTAACGCTTAGGAGCCCGTTTTGTGGTGACACGTCTCACTGGGACACAGCAAAGAAGAGCTTTGTGAGACCCACCACGGTAGGTGGTCTGTCTCCCAGCAAACCCTCAGGGTGCCCTCCGCTACTGTTGCATTCTGCTCTGGGCGGCTGATTTAGGTCATCAGAGTAGACAAAAATAGCCCTGTGCCTCTCTGCTATTTGGTTGGGAAAAGGTGAGATAAGTCGTTTTGGGGGATCCTCTTTCATCCATGATTCTTCAAACTGTGGGCTGAAAATAGAAGAGAAACTGGCCAGGTGTGGTGGCACCCGCCTTTAATCCAGCACTGTGGAGGCAGAGGGGGAAGGATCTTTTGAGGCCAGCCTGGTCTACCTAGTGAATTCCAGGACAGCCAGGACTACATAGAGACCCTGTCTCAAACAAAGGAGGAGAGAGAAAACTGCATCACTGCTAAACTTGTACAGACCCCTCCTCTATCATTCCCTGAGCAATAGAACATTAACCCCTGTCTGCATCGTGTTAGATTTTACAGGGTGAGCATCCCTTATCTAAAGCCTTCAGGCCTGAAACCTTTAACAAAGGTTAAGAATTTCTTTTCTCATATACGAACTGAGACATCTTGGAGGTGAAACCCGAATGAGATTCAGACCAGGCAATAGTACAGAGACTCAGCCCTTACACATGATGTACAATCATGTTCATATGCACCTTATACTCCGGACCCAAAGGTGATTTTATGCAGGGTTTAAAAGTGGTTTTGCACCATGCGCAGATCCCCATGTGTATTTGGATGTGGAAAGGCAGGATCGTGTGACATCACGTCAGCAAAGGGGTTCCGAGTTTCAGAAGAGTTTAGATTTTCAAATTAGGTATGTTCCACCTGCAAAAGGCTGATTTACGGGATAGATGCTTAAAGGTGTTGTTTATATGCAAAATCAACAGCATTTTATATAAAGGATCTGAATACTAGCAGATCTTAGTATCTACAGGGGGCCTGAAATCAATCCTCTGATTTCAGAGCGAAATCTGTACATGTATGCATTTTAATAAACCCCACCTCTCTACTGCCTTCAACCTCATCGGGGACTGAGAACAAATGTCTGTGAAGAGGAGGGCCTCCTTCATCAGTGTAAGATATGGGACAAGGGGGCAGTCATACTCAGACTCTGGGGCCTGCAGCCACTTGGAACCTTTTTCTTGTTAACAGTAACTAACCTTCCTTTGTTCCAGGGGTCAGGAATAGCAACTGTGGGGCTATGAATATAGACATATTTAGGTTGAATAAAAAAAATGACCTTAAGATAAGAAGAGAGAAAGTCATTCCTGATGGGGGGGGGTAGTTTTTGTTGTTGTTGCTTTGTTGTTGCGGTTGTTATTTTGTATCTAGAATGTGAAAGGCTAAAATGGAGAAGAATCAACCTAGATATATTTAGCATCTCAAAAGAAACCTTAATTTTCAAGTGCACAGCTACCTACGGTCTTACAGTGGATTTCCCTGAAGGGGATTTTGCTGGACAGGCCTCTTCACAGCCTAACCGTTGGCAACGTCCAAGGACACTGAGGTGAACTGGCTTCAGCTGGCTGAGTTGAATAATTCTGCTAAATATTCTGCAATGCTCAGGGTAGCCTTAAAAGTATCTGCCCCAAAGAGGTATTAGCCTTGGATAGCAAAACCTGCCATCAACCTGTGCATTGTAAAAGAACACAAACCATCGATTTCCTGTGTCGCCTTTAACCTTCTTGAACTATTCTTGTGTCACTAGCGACAAATGGGCAGGTGACACTTCCTACAGTCCCTACAGCATCTGCATACTGAATATAGTACCACGACATAAAATGTTGTAACACTAATTCTACATTGATAAACTAGAAAAATGAACCTAAAATTACTCATTCACTCTAGCCTACAAGATGGCAAAGCACACGAGTTTTACATGACTCTCCTAACTAAATTATTATTGTATTTTTACTTTCATTTTTGGTTCTGGAGGTTGAACCCAGGGCTCTGTGTGCACTGGCACCTCCCTCGGCCCTCATATTTGCTCTTCGTTTAGAGATGGGGGAGGGAGGGTCTTACTAAGTTGCCCAGGCTGGCCTAGAACCTGTGATCCTCCTGCTGCATAGCTACTATTACAGGTCTGTGCCACCGGGTCCAGCTAATTGATTGTTTTCTATAGTATGCATATAAAATAAAAGATTTGTTCAAACGAACTCTTGTGTTGAAGAAAACAAAACAAACGAAGCATTCACCGTTTGAAAATCTACGTTGGTGTGTCTTAGCGACTATCACATACTGTGCCCAAGGTTATTGATCATCTGGCTAATTTCCAAAGCTGTCTCTTTTCAACAATAGTGGCACTGAAGAGAAAGTTTTCATGAGACTATAACCACAAAAGCTAAAAGTCAGAGAATTCACCAATTTCAGGCATCTTACTTAAAACCTTTCCCATATAAGACACTAAAGTGTGTGTGTGCATGCATATATATTAAATAATATGTGGCTAATATATATATATATAAAACAATAATATAAGAATAGTTTTATGCCACCTTTGTAATATGTATGACTAGCAGAAGTCCACTGACCATCAAGTTCTGTTGTAGAATTATAGACACAAATATTTCTGTTCTGTAGTGTTCAAACTTCTGCTTCCCCTTTTGCCTCCACCCATCTTTTCTGGCAGTTCACCAAATAGCCAGAACCAAGGCTTAAGACAGAAGCCTGAATATGAATGCCTTGTCTTATGAAAACACCCTTCTTCTTTCCCATGCCCAATAAGGTCCTCTCGTCTCTTGGTCTCTGATTCCTGCCATCCTGACCTCTCAGCCTCTGGTCATGGTGTCTTCCTGTTGTTCCTTCATTCCTCTCATTCTCTTTCCAGATTTTCTACTGTGTGGTTCTTTGCTGTGAAGACACCTCCCGGCCACTCCCATCAGAATGGAGCCCCTTTACTGCATCGTTTACCCTGATGTAACTAACACACTATTTTGTCTTCTCCCAATCTCCAGAATAAAGACCTAGAAAAATGCCTGACGTGTAGCAGGCATTGAAATATTTGAATTGAAGAACCAATTATGGAGCTGGAAAGATGGCTTAGCAGTTAAGAGCACTTCTTACAGAGGACTCATGGTTAATTCCCAGAACCCACATAGCCCCTCATGACCACCTATAACTCCAGCTCCAGAGATGTTTTCTTCTGGCCTCCCAGGGTTCCTACATGCACATTGTGAACACACATATACCCGCTCTCCCTCCCTTTCTCTGCCTCTACATACACAGACCCTTCTCCCTCCCTTTCTCCCCCCACCAACACATGCACACACACACACACACATACACACACACACACCCCTCTCTTCCTCCCTTTCAACCCCCACCAACACTTCCCTCTCTCTCACTCTCACACACACTCACACACATACACACTCACACACACATGCTCAAACAATGACAGACACGTCTCTCACACACACATACATATAAAAATAAATGTATTTTAAGATAAGAGCGAATTAAGGGCATTCCAGCAGTTGACTGGCACTTGTGGACTTTATGTCTTTAAAGACATGAGCCTATGACCTATTCTATTTCACAATGCCACCCATTGTGCAGTGAGGCACAAAAGGCAGGATTTGCTGGAAATAAATTGCATAATCAAAACGAGTTTGTTATCCGAGTGACCGTGTTGTCATCACGTGGCTAGGGCCATGCAGAGAGGAAAAGGGCAGTTTTCATCTTGTCCTTTCTAACCTGAAACTGTGCAAGAGCCCTTCTGTTTGTACGCTTAGCTCTTTTCCTCGGTGTGACAATAGAACCCACACTCTCACTTCCCCCATCAGGCTTTCAAAACTCAGCATTTAATCAAGTCAGCCAAATCAGCCTCTCTCCCCAAATTAGTCTCTCTTCCCAGAAACCCCACGACCAAGCTGAAGAATTTCTTTGGTGCTGCGGATGAAACATGAACCCAGGGAAGTCCCTAACCTCTGTGAGCCAGCTCAGGGACCTGGGATCGGCACTGGCCATGTCCCCTACGCTTCCCCGGCTAACTGCTCAATTCCCAACCATCCTCACTTCCGCCTGAATTTTCCTGTGGAGCTTGCCCTGCGTCTGAGAGGCCAGACCCTCTCTTACTTGCTCAGTTTTCTTAGCCCAAAAGTGTGGTCCTAAGAGCGGTGTGGTCTAAGTTCACAATGCTTAACCAGGAGCGCTCCATCTGTCCGGCTTGGCTCTCCCCCACAGCATGCACAGACTCATATTTTCTTTTGTTAGCTAATCTGGGAAAACAAGGAAAAATTGCAAGGTATTCCTAATTCCCTCTGCAGCAGAGAATCCATGACTCCCTGAAAATTAATCTGCTGAAATTCTGACTCTGAGGTGTTGGTATTAAGAGGTGAGATCCTTGAGAGGTCATTGTGTCAGGAGGAAGGAGCCCTCATTAGTTATATTAGTGCCTTTATGTAAAAGAGGCCTGAGGGAGTCCTTTGGCTTTTCCACACAGTGAGCATGAATGAGAAGATAGTCTGT